TTTTTTACAGACAGAATATGCTATGGAATATAAGGTGTGGGTCCTCTAGACCTCCATCTCTTCACTGCCATGACTCTGATTCAGATATATATTGAGCCTTTACAAGTAGCCTCCTAACTAATTTTTCTCCCGCCAGTTTCCCTCCCCTGCCATCTTTATAAGACTCAATTAGCCAACAGCTTTAAGTCCAGCTACTTAATGAGCTTCAGATCTGCTTCTTCCATCCTCCCACCTCCTATCTATTTATTCTCCCAGGTCCAGCAATGTCAGACCCACTGCACTATCCTTTTCCCCACCCTGTTAATTCTAACCTGTTAAACACCAAGTCATTTCACAACCCCTGCCTTTGTGAGCACTCTTCCTGCAGATAAAATGGCTTTCTTCTTATATCGACTGGGGAGCACCTATTCCCATTGTGACACTAGACTTCCTTAATCATCCTCTTCGTTTTAGCCTCCCCCTTTTCACTTATTTATTTAAACATTAATGTATATCAGTAGGTACTCACACATTTTTATTTTATACTCTGGGTTATAACATTATACAATGTTTTTCTCTTTCTTCTGCAAGTTGTTCTGACTTTTGCCATTGAGAGCTCTTTCAGATTGGTTTCTGCATCCTTTTCACATGCTCTTAATCTTTTTTTCTTGAACACTGTCTTGCTTCTGTTACTACCAGATAATTCACGCTCAATTTGTGTTTTTCCTGCCCCAGCCCTCAGCCTTTTTTCTAAGAACCCCTTATTCTTTTTATTATAGAACACTAGAAACCAAGATCTAGGTGCTGGGTGTGCTCAGAGCTACTGGGATGTTATTGCTTCTATAGCCAGTCAGTAGATGGAATAAAAATTATGTGTATGTATACTGACTCATATATACCTACATATCAACAATTATTTTTGTAACCATTTGTGCATATATTTTAAGCAAAATATCATTCATATTGTTATATCTAACTCTAACCCAATACCACATGCTTCATTCTAGCCTTCTCCTCACCATGCCTCCCTGTAACCTCATGCTCCTACAGTTAGAAAGCAGGTTTCCACCATCTGGCATCCATTTACTAGTTTGTTCAATGCTAGTTTACATGTAGAGACATATCTGAATTAACCCATACAAACTGTGAGAAGCAATCTTCCTGACTTGAGTACCATGCTTCTGCATTACACCTTCTGCCTTTTGTTTTATAGTCCAGCTGAAACTCCATTTTCCAAAGTTATTTTTCCCCGATCCCTTCAGTGAGATTATGCTATACATTTATACTATAGTTAGACTACTTTGTCTGCATTCCATCCTGGAATCCCCCAACTTTCTGATTGATATTTCTAAGTTTGTGTGCATGAAGGTTTGCTCTTTTGCTGCAAAGTTTTATGGCTTTTGACAAATTGCACAATGCCATATATCCATCACTACAGTATCATACAAACTAGTTCTATCATACTTAAAAGTGTCTCTATGGTTCTCTAGTCAAACACTTCTCCTTCCCCAAACTCCTGAAAACCACTGATCTGTTTTCTGTTCGTATCGATTTGGCTTCTCTAGATTGTTATATTAATGTAGTCATACAGAACAAAGCCTTTTCAGTCTTGCTTCTTTCATAGAGCAAGATGCAGAAAGATTTACACATGCTGTTGCATGAATTAATACCACATTCATTTTTTTAGCTTAAAAGTAACTATTACCAAAAACAGAAAGGTAGGAAAGGAAGCAGAAATATGAGCTTAGATCTCACATTGAATTTTGGTCCTTTTGTCATGGGATCCGTGGGGTGTCACTTTGCCAGCTGGAAACCTCTGTTGCTGGTGGTGCCTTCTTCCCAAGTGTTGCTTGTGTCCACTGGTCTTGTTCCACTCACCACCAGCCTGGATCACATGCCTGCCAAGGGCAAGCAAGGTGTGAAATGGTGAGGGATGCGTGAGCAAACAAGTGTGGGGTCTGGTCACTGTGCACAGTCAGACACACCAGCTGCTGCAGTGAGGCAGGCAACTCCTAACCCTAACCCTAACGGACACCTCACAGGTGCCAGCTCCATGTGAACCTATGGCTGGCTGGATCAACATACCAGGAGCAGCTTCTGCTGTGGACACCAGCATCTGGACAAGGGAAATGAGGTGGCACCGAAAAGCTTGGAGATGTCAGGAACCACACAGCCCCAAGGAGGGTGTTTCAGCTCTGGCTTAGGAAGCCCCTAGGTCTGTACTCCCCAAGGGGCTACAACTCTTCTCTCCTTGTTTTCCACCACTTGGCTGGGCAGGGTGGGGCGGGAGATATTTCAGCTCTATTGGTGTTATAGCTCTTTCAGTCCTGCCATTTGGCTGGTAACAAGTTCTTGTCCTGCATCCAGGAAGAATGAGGTATGCACCTGGAGAGTGAGCAAGGTAGAGAGGCACATCATTGAGCAACAGAACAGCTCTCAGGAGACGTGAAATGGGTAGCTCTTTTCCACAGGCATACAGTCCTGATGAGTTCAGCCCTCATGCAGTGCGTAACTCCTATCCATAGGCAGGTCATCCTGATGAGTGTCCAGCTCTCAGTGGAGAGCAGACCCAGAGTGGGTAGCTCCTTTCTGCAGGCAGGTCATCCCAAGTTGAGAAGAGTAGTGGGTAGCTCCTTCCCTAGCTGTTAGTCCCAACCTCTCTGTGAGTCTGAGTCCGGGGGGTTTTATGGGCTCAGAAGGGAGGACCTTTGTGCTGATTATGATTAGTCCATGGGCAGCCATGGCAGCGGGGGAGGGGAGCCAGAAAAAGCACTGTAAGTTCTCGCTCTGGGCCTCCTTCACAGGGAACTGGCAGCCCGGCTCCCAGGCTTCAGGCTGTCCCTGGCTCAAAGGTGGGGCTTTACCAGGGACATGCCCCTTTCTTCCCAGGATCCACTCTGTTTCCTGCCACCATTGACATATCACCCATGGCACTCAGCCTGTTGGTGGGAGTGGGATCTGCCAGCAGGGCCAACCTGTCCTCAGCCCTCTCTCGGCCTCCCTCCCATGCTGGTTGGTGTTCAAAGTCCGGAGGGGGCTGAGGCAGAAGGCAGCTTCTTGTCAGTACCACTGGAAGTGCACAGACATCTGGCTAGGCTGTGATAGCAGGGAGGCCCAGCCACAACTTTCCTGGGAAATCAGAGCAGGCAACAGGAGCAGGGAGAGGCCAGGGGCAGGAGCAGGCACTTTCAAGCCTGCAGGGGTGGGGGGCTTCCAAGGCCCCAAGAGGGCAGGGATGCCTGGGTTCGAAGACGTGGCTGGGCAGCTGCAGCACCTGGGAGGGCAGGCCTACCTCTCTCCCTCCCTCCCTTCCTTCCTTCCAGTTCCGGTTCCGGGCTCCCTCCAGTTCAGGCTCCCTCTGGTTCTGGGCTCCCTACTGTTCTGGGCTCCCTCCTGTTTCTGGCTCCCTCCTGTTCCCAGCTCCTGCAGGCTCTATGTAGCACACAACCCTGGCCATGCCTCCCCTGCTGCAGCTGGAGTCTTTGCAGCAGCTGCTCCAGATGGGCTGCTGCTGCCATCACTTATGGGACTTCAGTGTTTCCCACCATTTCTGTCTTCCCTTCATTTCTTATTTTGTCAGAAACAATTGTTTATCCTATGGAATATTTTGATTGTATATGATTAATATAGAAAACTATTCACTTCTTTTAAGAAAAGATACCCATAGCAATAATAAATGTGCCATTCTACAATTAGTGAACTCCTCTTTGTTGCTGAATCATATTCCCTTGTATGAATGTACCACAGTTTGTTTATACATTCACCTATCAAAGGGTGTCTTGGTTTCTTCCAGTTTTTGATAATTTTGAATAAAACCTTTACAAAGAATCACATGCAGAGATTTTTGCACAGACACAGAGTTCAACACAGTTGAATTAATATCAAGGGGTGCAACTGTTGGGTTACATGGTAAGTCAATGTTTAACTCTGTAAGCAAGGGCCAGACTATCTTCTAAGTGTTTACACCATTTTCATTCTTAACAGCAATGAATGAGAGTTTCTGTTGCTCTGCATCTTCCCTAGCATTTCGTTTGTAAGTTGTTTGGGTTTTAGCCATTCTACTAGGTATGCAGTGGTATCTGACTGTTTTAATTTGCATTATTCTGATAATGAATGATGTTGAACATCTGTTCTTGTACTTATTTGTCATTTGCATATGCTCTTTGGTGAAGTGTCTGTTCAGATCTTTTACTCATTTTTTCAAGTGGGCTGCTTATTATTGAATTTTAAGAGTTCTTTATATATTATGGATAGAAAAGTCCTTGATCAGATATGCCATTTGCAAATATTTTCTCACAGACTGTACCTTGTCTTTTCATTCTCTTAGCAGTGTCTTTCACAGTGCAAAAGTTTTACATTTTGATAAAGTACAATTATTCATTTCTTTTCCTTCATGGATTGTGCATTTTGTATTTATGCCATTTGCAAATATTTTCTCACAGACTGTACCTTGTCTTTTCATTCTCTTAGCAGTGTCTTTCACAGTGCAAAAGTTTTACATTTTGATAAAGTCCAATTATTCATTTCTTTTCCTTCATGGATTGTGCATTTTGTATTGTATTTTAAGACTCATTGCCAAATGCAAGGTCATATCAATATTCCCCTGTGTTTTCTTCTAGACATTTTACACTTTTATAGTTTACAGTTTTGGTCTATGACCCATTTTGAGTTAAGTTTTGTGTAAGGTGTGTTATATATGTCGAAGTTCATTTTTCTGCATATAAATATCCAATTGTTTCAACACCATTGACTGAAAAGACTGAACGTTTTCCTTTGAATTGTTTCTGCCCCTCAATTCAAATCAGTTTGCTCTGTCTGTATGAGTCTACTTCTGGGCTGTCTACTGTCTTTCATTGATCTGTATGTCTGTCCATTTGCCAATACCACACTCTCTTTATAACTGTAGTTTTATAGTAAACCTTGAAATCATGTGTTTATAGTAAATCTAAAAAACATCACATTGGAATTAGGTTGGAAATGCCTGATCAGTATGCTAAATCGGAGCAATCTTGTTGTTTCAGATGGTTTATGGGAGAAATCTTGGCCAGTGCCTTCACATACTCGCTGATGGTAACTATAGCTTGTAAGTAACTGTTTCTCAGGTTATTGTGATGATGCCTGTATTTTATTCCAATCTTGGTCATTTTAAAATGACTTTTAAATATTTCCTCCTTCTCACTCAAGATATGAAATCACTGTTTCTCAGCCTTGACAGCTATTTCAAAACCCCTGTCTGTGCTCCATAAGTGTTGCCTGTGTAATCATTATTGTCTGGATAAAAGTGACCATAGTCTGATATCTGAGAATGATTTCCACTGTGTAACAGAAGACAATGACTGCATATAGGAAATGTCCTGGTCATTTGTCCTGAAGATGACTTTCTGTTACTAATAAAATTTAATAGTATTATCATCTGCCTCTTAAATTTTTACATCAAAATAATTCTTAAGCAGCAGGATTTAGAAAATAATTTGAAAGGCAATGTCCTTTAAAATAATTTTAAAAGTGATTTCGTAGAGTCATAGCACTACACTTTATAAAATGCCCCATATGAAGAAACCTTTGCCTTAGACTTTCCCAAATAGCTGGCAAACTGCCCATGGAATGATTTCAGTTACAAACTGTGATTTCTCTGCCTTCTCTTATTCATTTAATGACCCCCTTGTGTGTTAACTGCCATGGTTCAGCGTATTTCAAAGCGTTCCTGGGGTCTGGGTGGGAAGCTCATAGAATTTCAAACAGTCTGAAAGCACTATCCTATTGCAAGATGAACTGTGTTAATTACCTTCATTTCAATATGGCTACCAGAGGCAAACTCCCATGGTTGGGAGACCGAGGTCTTTAATTCACTATGGCACTCTTACAAAATCTGTGTTCATTCTGAAATCACAATGGGGTTTAGTGAAAATTTATTTTGTTTAGGAGTCTAGCCAATATTGATTCACTGACATTTTCAGTGATGCTTCCCATAATTTCTAGGTATTTCAGGTTTCTGGGGATGCACATATAACTAAGTTTTGTTCAACCTGATATTTAGAAAATTGAATCTTTGGATAACTCAAGAAACCCTTACAATTTAACCCTTGAAATTAATGATAAAGCTGGACATGGTGGCTCACACCTCTGATCTCAGCACTTTGGGAAGCTGAGGCGGGAGAATTCCTTGAGTCCAGGAGTTTAAGACCAGCCTGAGTAACATACCGAGACCTGCAAAAGATAAATAAAATTAGCTGGGTGTGGTGATGCACACCTGTAGTCCCAGCTACTGGGGAGACTAAGGTGGAGGGATTGCTTGAGCCTGGGAGGTCAAGGCTGCAGTGAGCCGTGATTGTGTCCATGCCTCTGTGCTTCAGCCTGGGCTACAGAGAAAAAAATTGTCTTAAAAAGACAAAGAAAAAGAAATGAATGACATTTGTTTAAAACAATCCTGAGATACTCACCTCCCTTTCTCTAGGTACAGGTTGCTCTCTCTGGCTGTACAGAGGCATAGAAATGTATCGTACATGACATTACTACAGGTTTGCATGTGTGCTCAGATTCATGGGCTGAGATAACAATTAGTCAGGAGTGGACTAACTAATCATGTCTGATTTTCACCCAAACAGCAATTTTGTTGCTCAACTTTCACAAATGAAAACATTACTATGATTCATCAATGTGAATTATATAAATTCCTTCTCCCTGGGTTTTAAGATGAACCTGTGCAATAAATCAGAAAGACAAGCATAGTTTTGCTAGAAAGCTCTGTAATGAGAGCTGGGTTTCTCAAAATGGGCTCTGGAATTAACTGGGAAGCTTGTTTAAAAAGCAGATTTCCGGATCCTGATTGCAACAATTCTGAATCAAAGTTTCAGAGGGTGTCTTCATTTGTAACCACTTCTCCAGGTAATTGTTTGCACATTAACTACAAGAATCTGGAAAAGGTGATTTCTAAAACCTTTACTCCTTGATTACTAAAGTGGCACCACCTAAGTTACCAAATCGTTATTGAGAATTTATGGTGTGTTCTATACTGTATGGGGTGCCCAGTTCAGCTCAACTGCTGTTAATGGAGTGTCTACCATGGGTTAGACACAGTCACTAGGTGCCAGGGTGGCAATGCTCCGGTATGTGGCTGGCCTCAAGATTTCATCGTCTGGTTAGAGTAAAGAGCATGTAAAGGGCAAGGAGGAATCACTTTTTAATATGGTAGAGGAGCCAGGGGAGCACAAGGAGGTCGGTTCCCAGACTAGGAGGAGTGCAGAGTATGTTCAGGGGTCCCTCTGGGAAGAGCCAATATCCAAATGCAGGGGTTTTGTCACCTGCTGTTTTCTCCGAACTTCCCATTGTTCTGAGCTGATTGTTCTCTCCTAAAAGAGATTACCTCAGGCCAATATTTGTATCATGAGCAAACGCTCTTATCTTCTGACTCACTTGTGGAATAAGCTTCCTTCTTTGATTATTTGTGTATGTGCTTTTACCTGTTCTTCTCTTGTTCCCCTTCCATTTTTCCCTGTTTCCTGCCTACTAGCCTCATATACACACACATTTGCATTTAAGACCTGTGAAACCAAGGACGATTGACTTCATTTTTGTATCTACCACTAAAGCCTTGAAAGTCGTATGTACTCCATAAATAATCATTAAATTGAGTGTATTTGCTGCATCATTTCTTGAAGTACTTCCTTGAAAGCCAAGAGCTCTGCGTGTATATTAAAGACTTTGCAACCCTCTCCCTTTTATATAAACATACCGAGAAACTAATAAACCAAAGACATAGTTATTAATACCAAGAGTCAAGAATGACTCATATGTCTCCTCTAACAATCAATGATGAGGATCGAAGGAAATGGAGAGTAAGCACTGAATTCAGTTCAGCAAATATTAATGCAGCACCCTCCCCCCAGCACACACACCCGTCCTGCACTGTGCAAGTTAGATTAGACTCGGCACCTCTTTAGCACCTCACGCTTCTCAGATCGTATCCCTTTTCATAACATAATGAAATTCTTAGTCCACTGCTCTCCTCACTCAATTTAAAGTCTGTGAGGACAGGGGCTATCTATCTTGTTCACCATTGGCCTGACTGCCCCTTGCAAATAAGGATCAGCACAGGTATCTTATGTTAGTAATGATATGTTAGCATCGGCAGTACACTTACAGTTTTGCACACTTATGATTTCATAGCAACAAAGTGGGTAACATCTGTTCTCTCTTAGATGAAGAAATGTATGTTCATATACTTAATGAATGAATGAATAAACTTTAGGGAATAAAAATATGGGGAAAATCCACCTGTTACTCTACAGGCTGTTCTACTGGGCAGAAGAGAGCCATTTTCTTTACCAAGTTTTTAATCTACTAGAGGCTCATGATTCCCTTTCACTTAAAGTGCAATTAAAGTACAGATATAATACTGAAAAATGTCATAAGGGCAAGTGGGAAGAGAAAAACATAGGAAATGTTAGTTAACGAAGTACCATGCTGGGCTAAGGGGTCGAAACCTTTATACCCTTTCAGGCAAAAAGGAGAGAGCTAAGAACTGCTAGGTTAAAAGCAAAAACAAAAAGTACCCATAGTTGAGGCTCCACTCTTCCTAGTTGTGATTATTCAGGCCGGTTGTGGGTATGGGTGTGGGTATGTGCATATATATGTGCACATGGGTATGCAGTGATTAGATACTGCACTTCCTGTGTATGTGGATGAATTATGCATTTATTTTCTTCTTTCTCCAATCTAGGTTTATCAAAATTTGACAGTCATTTAGGAATGCCTTCGATGAATGTCCTCCATCTGGATATCTGCAAATTGTCCAACTTGCAGTCCACTTGGAATCAGGTGTTTTACTGGAGGGGAGTAAGCGAATAATTGAGAAAAAAGCCATTTTAATATGACTATGTGATTTTAAAATGATCTCAGTTTTTCCATCAAAATTATAATACGCTCATGAAAATAATATTAATTTGCCTTTCCTTTGCGAACACCAGCAATTGAAAGGGAAAGGACTGAGGACTGTGATGGAGAGCAGACCACCTGTAATAAATGTTCCCCTGTGATTCTCTAAGGCAGTGCTTCTCGAGCATTAATTTTCATTAGGAAATTCTGTGAGGAGCTTGTAACTGCAGATTCCTGGGCCTGCCACATGCACTTATCCCTCGCTGAATTGCTTAATAGAATAATGAAAGCAAATTTGTCTAATTAATACCAACTTGACAACTTATAACAATAAATGCAATTTGTACATAAAACATAATGCTGCAAAAGTGTGTCATTCACCCCAACGGAGTGACTTGATATTAGGTGGCAACAGTAGCTGGTGGTTGATAGGAAAATGGACAGGAAATAAGCATTTTTGGAATGTTATATTCTTTTGAACCACTTTCTAAACTGAGTTTTTAATCTTCTTGGGGCTCATAATTATCTTTCACTTAAATTGCACTTAAAGACATACCACAGAAAAATGCCTTAAGGGCAAAATAAAGGCAAAACACCAGAGTGCTTTGAAATGCATGAAAATGGTGCAGTTGCATGCTTGAGCCTTGACTCAGGGGCTGTGGAAGATATTCCCTTTCTACCCTCCACACTTGGTGCATGTTCACAAAGCAAATACGGCCTGCAATTCAAACTATCAATTTGTCCTATGTGATATTCTCTGAGTAAAAACTCTTACATGCAGAAAATTGCCTGTGCTTGAAATGGTAATGCCAAAATATAACTTTGTGTAAAATTTGCATTTAGTGCACTTTTGGTTAAAAAATAAACTAATAAATAAATGGAGTCATCAGGAAATTTGTATGTGTGTGTGTATGTGTGTGTATATCTACATGAATTTTTTGAGAAATCATGGAGTAACATCATTAATAGAAGACTGTATTATTTCCCTTTTGTTACCTTAACAAATTACCACAAACCAAGTGGCTTATAGCAACACAAAGTTATTGTTTAACAGTTCTGGAGTTTGAAGTCTAAAATAAAGGTCAGTAGAGTTGTTTTCTCTCTGGAAGCTTTAGGGAAATACCTATTTCCTTGTCTTTTTTAGCTTCTGGTGTCTGCCTGTATTCCTTGGCTTGTTGCCCCGTCCTCTACCTTCAAAGCACGCAGCTCTGATTTCTTACTTGCATCATTTCATCACCTTCTCCTCTTCTGCAGTAAAATCTCACCTGCCTCCCTCTTTAAGGGACACTTGGGACTACATTTAGAATCCACTCTGATAATTCAAGATAAAATCATTGACTTAATAACATCTGCAAAGCCCCTTTTTTCCTATAAGGTAACTATCACAGGTTTCTATGATTAGAACCTGGCTATTTTGGGAAACCATTAGTAAACTTACCACAGTTGTATTTAAAATAGCTTTGTGTAATAATTTAGTAGATCTGGGATGTGTCCCATACATTTCCCGTTTTTACAAGTAGGTGAAGTGATCACAAAGTGATCAACAATCCACATGCATGGAATGCTTTGAAGTGGGATTTAAAATGAATTTAATGGGAAACTAAATGCATATGGAGCCTTTCATTTAATACTCTGTTAGGAGAGCTTCCATAGAATTGCTATGTTTCATCTATGTGTAACATACATTTTTCTACAGGGCCATTTGATTTAAATGATAATGTTTCTCAAAGTAGGTTGCTGAAATAGTACTAATTGTTTACATGCATATAATACTTCGTTGTTGACAGGGACCTTTTCTCCCAGGCTGTATGAGCTTGCTATGGCTACTATAACAAGTTACCACAGATTTGGTGGCTTAAAACAATGCAAATTTATTACCTTACTCTTTTGGAGATCAGTCCAAAATGAGTCTTACAAGGCTGAAACCTAGAGACTGCTGGCATTCCCTGGCCCTGGCCCCCTCCTCCATCTTCAAACCATATCACTCTAACCTCTGCTTCTGTGGTCACATCTTCTTTTCTGCCTTTAGACCTCTTGCCTCCCTCTTAAAAGACATTTTTTAATTACATGGGGCCCACTTAGACAACCCAGACTAATCTTTCTATTTTAAAATCCTTAACCTCACCACATTTGCAAAAGTCCCTTTGCCACATAAGGTAATCTAGTCATAAGATCCAGAGACCTGGAATGCAGACATCTTCCAGGACCCAACGGCTAAGTCCTTCCCCAGTCAAAGCTTCAGATAAGAAGCCAGCCCAGGACAACACCCTCTTTGCAACCTTGCAGAGGACCCAGTTAAAGCTGTGGTTCTGACTTACAGAAACTGTGAGCTTATAAATGTGTGTTCTAAGCTACTAAGCTTGTGCTGCCATTACACTGTGATAGATAATGAACACAACATCCACTGATTCTTTCCCAAGTTTATAAAGTGTGTTGCTGTGCAAAATGACTTTAGGACATGTCCCCTAGCAATGGACTCTAGCCCAATGGTTGCTCTTGAGAGCATGCCTTCTTAAGAACCAAACACAAAAAGAGACACAATCTTGCTAGCTATACCCGGAGCCCTCCAGCTGCCCCTTCCAACATCCTCACCCTCAGAATAATCACTATGCTGAGCTTATGATAATCACCTCTGTATCCTGGCTTATCGTTTTTATTACCAATGTATATTTCTAAATACTATAGTACAGCTCTGCCTGTTTTTGTTGTTTGTTCATTTAATATACCTTTTGGGTCTCCTTTATTGTATAGGTTCTTCCTCCCTGACCTTTGAAGTTTATTTCTTTGAAAACTGCATCATTTTTCTTGTAGATTTTACTCCATTGGAATTTTGCTGATTGCATGTCTATAGGAAAGTTTAACGTTTTCATTAGTCTTCTACATTTCTTGCCAACTGAAAGTTGATTCTAGAGGCTTAATCGTTTTTTGTTTTGAATTTTGTGGGGAACAATTACATCCTAGGTAGTGTCATATATTTTGTCAAGAGGGGGAGTATGTCATTTTGTGTTGTTGGCAGCTGTTTCTGTTTAATGCATAGATATCTAATGAATTTGAGACTGAACATGATGATACTCCAGTATGACCACATCTTCTTTATTTATCTGTTGGGAATATGTCTGCTCAAGGAAATGTCTACCATCTGATTGCTGAGTGTTTCCGATTTTATAGGAAAGGAGAGATGAATGCTTGAGTCTTTTCCTTTATTGGCTAATTTTCAAAACAAAAAGTTTATTTCTTAGTATCTTTTAAAGATGGCCAGGATGCTATATATAATCAATGTTTATATGTAGGAAGGAAGATGCTTAATATATAAAATTTCCCAGAAGGCACGCCTTCCGACTTCCATACTCTATGTGCTTTGTACTTCACCAAGATGCTAAAAAAATTGGGAAAGTAAATTAAGCATGAGAGATACATAGATAATAACTGAACTTTAAAAACTCACCCAGCATTTAGTTTTTGAGAGCCTACTACCTGCAAGAACTGAAACAGGTACAGACATTTCAAAATGTGGTTTCTGCGCTCAACAAACTTGCTCTGTAATGGGAGAAACAAGGCATTGCATAAAACAATGGCCACAGGACCAATACTGACAAAAGATTCTAAAGGACAATGGAGGATTTCCACTCACCCATAGTCACGCCTCAGACTGCTGTAACAAAATGCTATAGACTCAGTGACTTACACAACAAGTATATATTTTTTTCAGAATCCTAGAGGCTGCAAAATTCAAGATCGAGGTGCCAGCTGATTTGGTGTCTGGTGAGGGCTCACTTCCTGCTTTGCAGATGGCTGTCTTCTTGTTTCAGCTTCACATGTTGGAAAGACCCAGTGTCTCCTCCCTTTTTTATAAGGGAACAAATCCCATTCATGGAGGATCCATTCTCATGACCAGATCATTTTCCAAAGTCCCCATCTCCAAATACCATAACATTGGGGATTACAGCTTCAACATATGAATCTTAGGGGGACAAACATATTTGGTACATAATACCCAGTTACCAAAAATATGTACACAATAAGTGATAGAGATGCAGTATGTCTGAATTGAACATCATTGCTTTGACTTACAGGTCTTTTAAAGACTTTTGCTAGAGATTTATTTTACTGCTCTAGAAAGTATAAATGGTTTATAGTTTTTCTAGCCCATTCATCCATGAGTTTGATCAACCCAATTAATCATTATTATTATTGACCACCGGCTAATTACCTGGCACTTGCTAGGAACCAGGGATTTTTTATATGAAGGCAATACAATTCTATTCTCAAGGAGCAGATGTCATGGCAGACTGGGAACTGGCTAAGCATGTAATTACAAGTGTCAAATATACTCTAGAGCCAAAAAATGCGTTTCTTTGAAAACATTTACAAAGTCAGATTCTTTAAAAATTTAGATGAATTCTTCCTTTGGGTTAATAGGAATTATGGTATCATGTTAAGTATCAAAAACAGGAAGTAAGGAGAAGAAAATAAAAGAAATGATGGCAGTGGCAGCAAGCTAACAATAACAGGAAATACAGTTACTGGGGAACTTTTATTCTGTGCCCGATCCTGCCCGGGGAAGTTCACATTGCATGTTCTAGTAAATCTCGTAACAGCCACTTTAGCTATGCAAGTGTAATGGTTAATATTATGTGTCAACTTGGATATACCATGATGCCCAGTCGTTTTGTTAAAAACTAGTCTAGATGTTCCTGTGAAGGTATTTTGTGGATGTGATTAATGTTTGCAATCAGTTAACATTAAATAAAGCAGATTATCCTCCATAATGTGGGTGGGCCTCATTAAACACATTGAAAGCCTTAAGAGCAAAGACAGATATTTAGCAAAGAAGAAGGAAGTCTACCTCCAAATTGCAATATAAACATTCTATGTGACTTTCCAGCTGTAGAATCATCATCTCTCACCTGAATTTCCAGTCTGCCATTTTGCCCTGTGGATTCTGAACTTGTCAGTCCACTTCAACTGTGTAAGCCAATTCCTTGAAATCTCTCTCTCTTATATACTATATGTATATATATACACAACATACATATATATATATACTCACACACCATTTATAGATATACACACACATCATATATATATATACACACACCATACACACACACACACATACCATATATATATTGTATTAAGATTCTCCAGAGAAACAGAACCAATAGGATGTATAATATAGATATACATATATTACATGTAATGCACATAATATATAATATAGTATACATAAAATATATATTTATAATTCATCACATTATAACCAATAGGACATATAATATGTGATTATGTATGTGATATATGTAATATACATATTTATAATATATCATTATATCCTATTGTTTCTATATCTCGGGGCAACTCTGTCTAATATAGCAGATATGATAATTGCGATTTTATACATTTAATAGATAGATAACTTTAGACGGGTTGAATGACTTTCCAAAGGGTTTCCCAAGAGAGTAGGTGTGAGATCTAGATTTCAAAGCTAAGTCTATCTGACCCACAGCCCTTGCTTCCCCCACTACTGATTACTGCTGAGAAGGTTACATGAGAGGGGCCTGATGCCTTGGTGATCAAAGGCTATGTGAGTCACTCTCGTCAGAAACGCTAACTCGGGAGAAAGTTTTCCATAAGGCGACAGATTAAATGAAAAGAGTCAACTTTCAGAGACAATGATCACCTTCACCGTTTTTCTTGGGGTTCTCAAATCTAGTTCTTGGAGAATCAGCATAAATGAGATACAACATAAAGAGAAGAATTATCTGACACTGCTCTGCTTTAGAGCCTCTGTTCGGAGAGGCTGATGTAGCTACAGAGCTCGTAAGAAGAGCTGCTGTGTTGCTGGAGCATCTACGCTGTGCCAGGCGATTTATCTTCTTTGTCTGTAATC